TCTACAGGTGCTTCAGAGAAAGGTTTAAAATATCCCCACTGTTAGTCAAGACTTAAAATAAACTTAAAAATAATGGAACTGCCGTCATCAACCAAGTGTAAATATTTGTTGAATTAAATTACTGAGTTAAATGATACTGAAGATTATAGACTTTTGGAAAGGCATTTTTAACTTGCTAAATTTGGAATCACTTTCCCATTTCCTATTAGAAAAAGCAGAACCAGAGAAGAAACTGCTAATAAACTCCTTAAAACTGACTCCTAAGGAATCCCCTTAGCCTCTCTATTTAGCAGAGGCATTATAAAATTTAAAGAGAAAAGAGACGACAGCTGAGGATCCCAAAAGAGCTCCGCTCCAAATATATTCTGACCCTGAGTCCTCTACCACACGCATTCCTCAGTTTATTTACCCTGAGAATGGGCACAGGAAAGACAGAGATGAGTAATCGCTAATAAAAGCCCATTTGCCTCTGGCAGAAATACAAATGCCTGTTGATAAAGACCATTTTCCAAACCCACAGCTTAAATTTCTCCATCAACATCTCAGGGCCCAGCAGCCAGGCTCCCAAGATCCAACGGGCTTGGGCTCTAATTTTAAAAAACTGAGCTACAATTTGGGGACTCACTAGAGCCAACTCATGAAGCAGCAGCCAGCTCCCTAACTCCCAAAGAAGTCATCACACATGTCCACACCTCATTTCATTCTTAACCAGGATGACACTCAATCTTTATGATAAAAAAATGAACCCAAGGACACCACCCAAAAGAACTTGTTTCTCTTAGACCCACCAAAGAATAAAATGTTCTCAAAGCCACCTCCTAAGATAAACACCCTTCCCCACATGCCCCTTTTAATTGACTGGTTGACTGTCTCTTGGGTGCGACTGTGCGGATTTATCCCGGGTGTGTAACTGAGTTGGAAAAATCTTCCTGAGTTCTGAGTACCCTAATATGAAAGACAGTGCAGGCTGAAAGTACGTTTAAGCTGTCATATGTCACTGATGTGACCACAGCACTTTTTTTTTTAACTTTTAATTTTGTACTGGGTATAGTCAATTAGCAGACAATGTTGTGATAGCTTCAGGTGAAATGAAGGGTCTCTGCCATACAATACATGAAACTCTTCTCCATATTATGTGGCAGCCTGGATGGGAGGGGAGTTTGGGGACTTTGCAAAAACTAAAAGTATGTCTCCTTGGGAAGCTTGGTCTGTGATTGATATGTTTCCTTCCAGCTCTAAAACTCACCAGTCAGCTCTATAAGACTGGCCACTGAAGGTCCCGGAGACAGTCAACAGAACCCAGAGAAGAGAAAGGGAATTAAACTATAGGTTTCAGTAAGATCACTAAAAGTCATATAGTGGTCACGAGTTGTAAAATGTTCAAATATCATAGTCAGCTCCCCCTAAATGTGAGTGTCCAAGACCTAGGGTAATTCTAGGTTATAAATATCAATAATTATAATGCTATATGTAATTATGCACAGTACCCTGGTTTCTCAGTATCCTCATATGAAAACTCTTAGGGTAAATTGCAACAACTCATTTTTGTGATGCAAGTTACTCATTTTTTCCAAACACTCCTCAAATTTAGAAACTCTGCCCATTTCTAAAGATCAAACTGAAACAGAGATTCTTCCAAAGGAACCGTGACGATACCTCTGCAATGTTCTGTCCTGAGAAGCCAGTTCAAGCGACTCTCCCACCAAGAAACAGTCATCACAACCAGAAAAATAAAACAATGCACCAGAGAGTTAAATATGATATCATACACTACAAGTCATATTTCGCTTCAATCACTGTTAACATTCTAATATTCATAAGAGATATCACTGGTTTCTAAATGACAATACTGTTCCCCTCTGAATAAAGATTACTGTTATCAGATTTTAAAATATGAACAACATGCTATAAACTCAATTCTAAACATGTTCCACATTCATCAATGGTCAGAATAACAATTTTTTTTTTCAAATGGAGACTGAGTTATTTCATTTTTAATTTAATGACAAATGTTCCTTTAGTTTGGCTTTAAGAAAAGGATTGCTTCACTCAGTATCTATTATATGATGTAAGAGCTCTATTAGGAAACTTAAATCCATTTAGAAATTGCTTTCTAAAACTAAACTTACTATATTTTAATAAGAAAAGACCTGTTCAAACAGTTTTTTTGAAGATGAGTATTCCGTCAAGGTTAGGGTATCTAATAATAAATTACTGTCAAGCGATTATCTGCCTGATGAAAAAATTTCCATTTCTCATTTTACTTGAATACATGCTCTTCTGCCTGAGGAGATCAGTATCATAAATTGACATCTGGACTGCTAAATCTAAACAACACAGATTGCTTAATTATGTAGAGGCTTTTAAAATGCTGTAGCTTTTTCTCTACAATTTTATGTACTTACTGTGGAGGGTGGTCACTTTACTATCTTAGTTTTCATTATTTTATCTGACAAAGTTCACTTCTCTTAGTTATTTAAATCTTAAAACAGCAAAACCAAAGGATGAGACAGTTCAGTAACTTTAATTCCAATTTATGCCTTTCACTTGATTTGAACATTTTATTCATTGGTTCCACCAAAAGTGCTAAGGTATTTATTTCTATCCTATATATACATATATATAGTTTCATTATGGATGCCAGCAACTTATTGCTGTTTTTTTCAATAAAAATTAAGTTAAAAAAAAAATTAAGTTCATCCAATCTAAGATTTGTGAACCTGAATATTACTGTTAAAAGCAAAACTTTCAAAGCGTGGTATTTGCAAAGCCTTTGAGAAGTCGTTAATGGTATTCCCATGATCTAATACATGTAAGGCTTTAACTGTAATCGTAAACCCACTGAAAGCTTATGATCTGAAAGGATGGACTATTGTAGCCAGTTTTCTTGAGTTTAATTCCACTGGCCAATCCCCAGTTTCTATATTTTAAATCTCAACTAGAGCAAAATCATAACACACTTTTCAAAAGAACAACCTAAAGAAATCAAGAGTGGGAATGATAGGGAAAGAACGTCAGTGCCAACAACCATGCTTCCGGACAAACCATCAAAGAACTTCAAGCGCACAAGACTGAGCAAAACTTTTAGTTTGTGAAATATGTGCAATTCACTCTTAACACTCACAAAAGTACATATGAATCATTGTATTTTTCTCTGATTTATATCCCGCACAAGGTTCAATAAAACGCAGAACTTACTCAGCCTCAACTGATGACTGGATCATTGTTTTTAGAGGCTATTTATTACTCTTTTTCTGGCATGATTTCTTCTCTGGTCCAACTCTGTGACTGCTAAAAGCCAGGAAAAGCTGCCTTCAAGTCAACGCATGGTACAAAGTCACTAAAAAGTTTGCAGGCATCAGCCTATGCCAAGGTGCTTAGGATAAGCTGTTCTGCTTTGTCCTAGGGACCCCCAGGTATGCAAAGTCTTTGCAGGGTTCACGGAGATTTATGATTAAAACAGATTCTCTCTTTTTCCTTTAAGAGATTTGAGTTTTTTCAGGAAATGATTCCACATACTCAAAACAAGGTTCAGCCTACCTTCTCTCTTCAAGATCTATGTGGACAATTCATCCCAGGGTTAACGCACAACAGACACACAAAAGTAAAAACAACATCAACCATATCTGTCTTGTTTCTAAAATTTCTTCTTCATTTCTTGTTTCATAAATTTCTTGGCTTTTATAATTCAGTATTTCAAGTCTTGCTCTGGGCTATCAGACCTAACTCCACCTAACACACAAATTGTATTTTACAAAGGAGTAACTGAATAGAATATTCATTTATTACCAAACACATGTAGGAACAACTTGGTTGTGAAAGAACTTTACTGTATTTATTCACACACTTATTTACTGATTTCCCTAAAGAGCCTATCAATGGAGCCAACAGAAAATGTAGTATTCCAAGCATTGTGTACCAGCAGTTGGCCCGAATATTACAAAATTGTCTTTAAAAACCACTGCTAACACTTCCCTTTACTTTTTCAGTGTTAGTACAATTAAATTCATTTATTTCATATCACCCATGCAACAAACATAACCTCAAAGGGTCTTTCAGTTTGGAAATACTGAACTTTTTACCTTCAGTTGAAGGCACAGTCAACAGGTTTTTTTTATTAAAAAAAAATTTTTTTTTTTTTGCTATACCCACGTTTGGATAGTCTAAATCCAAATTATAATGATTTTATAATTATAATACCAGGGCACTATGAAACTTGGAGCTTCTCTTAATGTAGTTTTTTTTTAAATACCTTTGGATTTATTTTCTACATAAACCTACGACTTCTAAAATATATTTATTAAGTGCTGTCTATCTTTCCCAAGGGTCTTAGCTCTTATGGAGAAAGGAAACCAGACCTGAGGGCTGTTTTTATTGTGAGCATTGTTTCCCATTCTCTTAGAACTCAGGGGGCTGACCTCAGCTTGCCGCACTTCGCCACACTTCCCCAGTACTACTTCCCCAGAAGGCGATCCTTTAAAGCAAACTTCAGTGGATCCACGATTTTTCTGGGAACCTCAGGATACTACTGATTTACATGTAAAATTCTCACTGGAGACAGGGGGCGGTTGGACGAGTTAACTCAGGTGAGAACACCACCACTTCCTGAAACAATCATTTAGGCGCTGAACCAGGTCAGCCCTTTGTGCCTGAAAACGAGCCTTTTCTGCCGGAAAACCACAGCGGCGCGGGAAAGAAGGAAGGTTCTCCTGCCGGCGGATCCCAGGCGCGGCGGATCCCAGGCGCGGCGGAGCCGCCGTTTCTCCGGGGCGCGCTGCCGTGACGGCGTTTCCAACCTGGCCATCGACACCTTGCGGGGCCTTTCCCCCAGCTGCAGAGGCCTCTGCCATGCTAGCCGCGGAGAAGCCTAGTCCCCTTGCAGGGGCCCAGAGTTCCCGGCTTGCTTCCTCTCGCCCTCGGGTGGGAGAACAGAGTGGCCAAGCGCCCGACCCCGGTGCCAACGCTGCCGCACCCCACGGCGCCCCCGCGGGCCGTCTTACCGGTACAGGAATGCAGGGGCTTCGGTCGCACGACCAGCGACGGGCACACGGAATACAGGGAAAGTTTCTCAAAGTAATCGCAGGTCTCCTTGGAGAGGATCTCGTCGATCATGAAAGTCTTGTAGCGCCGCCTGGCTGCTTTGAGTTGGCCGGGCGAGCTCAGCCTCAGCTCCGCGTGGCAGTGCATGGTGAGCCCGGGCGAGCGCCCGCCAGCCGGGGCCGTGGGGCTGGCGCGCCGGCGGGGGCCTCGGCCCGGCTACTCCGCGGCCGGGAGGCGGCGGGGTTCAGGAGGGGTGCGGAGGGGAGGCGGCACCCGGCGCGCCGGCCGCGCGTCTAGACCCACCCGCGGATCAGCATCTTCGCGGAGCCTTTTGGGGACATCGCAGCTGTCAATCAGCGCGCGCTTCCTGCGGGGCCGGGTGCGGAGCTGCGCCGAGGGCTGGCCGCCGAGGGGCGTCGGCGCCCACCCCGCCCAGCCCGCCTGTGCAACCCGGCGCGGACCTGCGCGCCTAGTGCCTGCCGCTCGCGATCGCCTCCTCCCGCCTCTCAGCGTCTAGCGCTCTTCTGCCTGCCTATTTTAAGACACTTGCTTTGGCTGTCCTCCCCGCCCCCCTCCCGGGAAGAGCTCCAGGTGCGTGTGTGCAGTGTGCGCGCCTGTGTGTGCGCGCGGTGCGGGGAGCGCGCGCCGCCCCCGCCTGCCGGCCAGGCCTCGGCTGACCGCTGCCCCCGCCGAGCCCGGCGCTCTGGGCATGCCGCGCTCCCGATCCGGCTCCCATCGCCAGCACCTAGCCGGCCGGCACGTCCTGGTCTGTTAGTAGAAAGAAGTGGAGACCTCACCGTGGCTCCCGAGACTGCGGACCCCAGAACCGCGCGCCCCCCAGCATCTGGTTGCCTTCTTCCCTCCCCATCTGGACTTCCGGAGGCCGTTTCCCGAGGACCAGGGCATCCCTCGCGTTCCTTAGGCTCGCAGCCCGCGCGCTCCAGCACCCGGAGTGTGCGCTGGGATCGCGAAGTTCATGGTTCCACGGAGATCCCAAGCCATCAATGACCCTAGCGCTGTCCGTTATCCCACCAGTAAACTTAAAAAAAAAAAAAAAGGAATCAGTAAAAACATGTGTTCTTTTTTTATTCTCTAACTCTGTTTATAAACCTTTTTTCGCCTCCAGGAGGGCCAGCGGAGCGTGACTGCCGGTGCGGCCGGTCCTCGGGCAGCCGGCCCGGTGGTGGCTCCTGGAGCCGAATACTCGGGCACCGCGGCGTTCCTCCCCCAGGTCCCTGGCGACGCGCAGTGTTCGGGGAGTCTCGAGGACACGCGTTCATCAAGTGTTTTGTCTTTTGCCTCCTGGATGCCTAACTTCCGAGTCTGTTCCAGTTATTAGCTGAACGAACTTTTGTTTTCAGTTGAAATTGTTGGGCGAGGGGACCCCACCCAGCCTAGGCACCCAGACTGACAGTCCTTCTGCCGGCATCCTCCCCGCGCGCCCGCGCTCGGCAGAAACTGTCGGTGCTGCCAGTTCCGAGCGATTTTGTCTGGGAAAAGGTTTGTGCGGGGCCGGAAGGGGTATTAAGAATTACAGATGCGGATGGCCTTCCCCGAAACCGAGTTTGTGGCTGGTGACATATCGCGGTCTCGATCGCGGCGGGCTCCCCGCGGAGCTGCTTGTCCCGGAGCCCAAGTCGCCGCGAAGCAAGTGAACGCGCGCGCCTGGGCGAGTGGTTCGACTTCGAGGGAAGCGCCACGACTGGAGAACTAATAACGAGGCACTTAGAAAAAAGTAGTAATACACCGAATTATAGCCTTACATTAGACGTGGCCCGCTACGCGCCTTTGAGGAACTTCATTCCCAAAGTGTTTGCGTCCACCTGGCTCCCCTCCGCCCCTCCCCTCCATTTAATACGATTTTCGTTTATTCTCATATCTCCTTATCTCGTATCTCTCATTCTCATATCTCCTTATGCTCATTCTTCTCCCCCCCGGAGAGACAGCTCGAGGGCCCGTGGGAGCTGAGGCCATGTGTCCGTGTGGCGGCGCGCGTCCCGCCGCAAGGCCTGAAGGTCGCCCTGCTGGGCCCCGGTGCGCCCCCGGCCGTGGTGGCGGGTTCCACGGCCTGTCCGCTGTCGGGAACCGGGCCGAGGATGCCCCGGGCTCAGTCTGGGCAGCGCCGCCGGGCGCCTTCTGAACGCTGGCGGAGCAAGGACACGCTGCGCCACGAGCTGGGGACCGTCCCAGGGGTGCGGCGTTGAAACAGAGGACATTGTTGGGTGCGGAGCTAAATTTCCTGCTGGAAAGTGCAGTGCTGTCTGCAGCGACGAGAAACTGTTTGGTGGGAGCGGAGGGCGCGGCGTGGGGGGGCGGGGAGGGTGCTCTGCATCGCACCCAGCGACCCTGGCGAGGGATCGAGCGTTAACCGCTTGGACCCTCTGTCGGGCTTTCACGGAACACGCGCGCCCTTTGGACCCTGTCTTTTCCTCCACCTCTTGCCCCGTCCTCCCCTGGCCGGCTCTTCCTGGCCCTTCCACCGCCACTGTCCCTTTCCCCTGCTTGCGCCCGTTTCTCCTTCCCCCACGGTTCCCAGCCCTTCGGGCCTCCTCGGCTCGAGCGAACTCCCGCTTCTCCCCTTCTCCCCATCTGTCAGCCTAATTTCTTTTTCTTTCTTTCCTCTCTTCCTTTCCTGGCTCCTTCTTGTCCTCTCTTCAGACCCGCATCTGAAGCCGCGCTCCTGTGCCCGTGCACCGCCGCTCTGCCACCCGGACGGCTGCGGGTGGCTCGCGGGACTGGACTGCGCCAAAGCCCGAGCCGCCGGGTCTGGGGGGAGCCGGCCTCGCCTCTGCCCGCCGCGCCCTCCAGCCCGCGTTCCTCCCGGCGTGCACTCGACCACTGCACAACGTTCGCTCAGACTCTCTCGCAACTGGTCCTGCCATTGGAAATCTGCAGCGTATCCAAATAGCTACATAATAAATTAAGTAATAATTCTTGGACTTTCCGTCTTTTCTATTTTCTACAACTGACGCAAGAAATCTCAGAAGGGGTCTGACAGCACAAGTCTCCAGGTTGAGAGGAGAGGGATGCCCAATCTTGGAGTCTGGAGCCTCCAGCTCTGTGTTGTTTATAATCAAAGACAAGCCTGTTTTCTCATTTGTACATGACCATCATAATATCTATTTCACAAGGTTGGCATTTCATGATCCGTGCCTTTTTTTTACAGCTCTTGACTTCAATGAGAACGCCCAAGGCACCCTATCGCCTCCCTCCTTCTTTGCCTGAAAAACTAATTCAGGGCCCATCTCATATGTCACCTCTTCTGAAAAAATATCCCCCACTTCTCAAGACTGTGGTTGCTATTCCTATCTTAGGGGTTTCTTTACCAAATTACTGTCTTCTGTGTGTTAATGTCACCCACTGAACAATTCATCTTGTATCACCAAGACTAGCGTAGTACCTGGCACATAGTAGGTTCTCAGTACATGTCATGAAAAAGTTAATGCATGACAGTTTGGATCATTATATAATGTGTGTAAGACTCGAGAACTTGGTAGGACTTCAGATCATAACTAGTTGTACTGAATTTGTCTTTCTCCTTAAATCCATCTCTCCTTCCTTTGTAGTTTTGATTTTTCAACAACGGCATCCAGCCCAGCTCCCATTTTGCTCCCATCTCTCTCTTTTCACTCCCTTTCTCCTGATCTCAGACTGTAAAGGGCTTCCGTAGAAGGAAGCACACCCCAGCTGTCAATCACAAAGTGGGGCTTTGGTCAGGAATAGTCCCCGGGTTTAGTTTCCAACATTAATGAAGTGGCTGGAACAGCAAACATCTGCCAAAGAGCCGCAAACCTTTTCCAGCTGCTGGAGACCCACAGACACTTCCCAGCCTCCTGTGACGACGGTGCCCCGACGGTGTCTGCCCCTCTGCCGGGAGGAACACACACGGAGAGAAACAGACCCGTCTGTACCCAGCCATTCTTGCTCAGGCAGGCAGGGAAGGGGATAAAAATGCACACCCCCAGGAGGCTTCAGGAGCTCGGCTCCCCTCCTCCATCTGGCGCCTGATTCCTGGGGATAGGGCCCAGCCAGAAACAAGGGGCCAAGACACCTGTGTAAAGTTTAAGGTTTTGACAACTAGAAACCAAAGACCTGCTCTTTCCCATTTCAGCTGACACCCAGTGTCTCTACTCAACTAGAATACATGAAAATTTAACAAAACAAAACAGTATTTAAAAATCCTAGGGTGGCATTTTAATTGCCCCTAAGAGCTAACCCTAGGTAAATGAACTCAGCTTCATTTTTTGTATAACTATCATCTTATAACCTTGGGCAATGTGTCAAGATAGATACAGAAGTGGCCAGTGCATAAATAAGTCTTCTGAGTAAACAAATTCATTCCCCATCATCTTTTCTCCAAGTAGGGGGAGGGGAACGAAAGCACTCCTTACACTCCAGTAAAGTGTGTTTAATAACTTGTATTTCAGTCGCTAAGTTTTGAAATAGTTTCAGACATGTAAAAGCAAAATAGGGAAAGCCTTGTAAGTTAATATTCCCGTGGGCTCCAGGGCCATGCCAAAACTGCTGCCTGCAGCCCGGCCCAGCAGTCTTGCACAAGAAGTCAAAGGAGGCAGACAAGAAAGCCAGCTTATTTTTAATGATGATATTAATTTACAAAAACTGCTCTCATACTCTGTAAAGCATCTTTTTAAGAGAGGTACAAATGCAATCCACTTGACAAATGGGCTTGGAAATGTCTGAATAGGTCCTTCTTTCTCGAAACATCTTTCTGGTGGAAAAGTTTAAACTGAAAGAAAAAATAAAGACGATTGCTGTATCTACAGGGCACGTAACATTTATGTGAAAAGTGAAAATGCAGTGAATCATCCAAATGTTTCCAAATTTTTAGAAGCTTGGAATACAGATTTAAAAATTATAACACACACACACAAATTTGTTTTGAGGACCTACTGTATAGCACAGGGAACTCTGCTCAATGTTATGTGGGAGCCTGGATGGGAGGGAAGTTTGGGGGAAAATGGATACATGTATATGTATGACTGGGTCCCTTTACTGTCTGCCTGAAACAATCACAACATTGTGAATCAGCTATACACCAATATAAAATAAAAAGTTCAAAAAACATTTGTTTTGCTGATTATTTCCTTTTTTAACTTGCTCTCTCCTAACATTAAAGTCTTCTTTTTCTTTTCTTTTCTTTTTTTTACTTTTTATTTTATGTTGGAATATATCCACCTAGCAATGTTGTTATAAATTTTAGGTGAACAGGAAAGGGATCCAGTCATACATATACGTGTATCCATTCTTCCCCAACCTTCCCTTCCATCCAGGCTAAACAGTCTTGTTTCTGCCTATTTTTCTCAATTACCCCATTGGATATAGCCAGGAAAATAAAATTTAAGCACTCCTATGTTTTTCACAATGTTGTAGAAATGGATACTGATGTTTGGGACACCACTGGTTTTGATTTGTTCTTTTTTTGTAAATGATATCCCTCACTCATGAGGAAGCCGCCACAAGAGAGGAGAATCATTTTTCAATATGTCAGGGAGCAGTGCTCTGAGCTTGGGGTAAGTGGAAAGAACTTTTGAATCAGGCAAATATGTGTTCCATTCACAGCCCAATTAGTTAGTAATCTCCCTGACCTCTTGTCTTCACCCACAACGTGGGATGATGGTAGCCAACTCAGGTTTGCTGGAGGGTTCTATGGAGGACTGTATGCATTGCACTAATTCATGAGAAGCCGGTGTTCCCACTGCCTTTACTCTGAGTTCAATAAAATAAGCTATTCACTTTCAAAAACCATCACACATACAACTGCATTTTTCAAAAAGCATCCGAGCCACTGCTGTTTCATGTGTGTGGGGAGTTGGTTGGTTTTTTGTTCAATGTTCAGAACCTAGGAAGCAATTTGCTTTCCAAAACCATCACAGGGCTTCCCTGGAAGCTCAGTGAGTGGTAAAGAATCCTCCTGCTGATACAGGAGACGTGGGTTTGATCCCTGATCTGGGAAGATCCCACAGGCCTCGGGGCAACTAAGCCCATGTGCCAGAAATATTGAGCCTGTGCTCTAGAGCCTGGGAGCTGCAACTACTGAAGCCCATGCACCCTACAGCTTGTGGCCAGCAACAAGAGAAGCCACTGCAATAAGCAGCCCGCTCACCCTCGTGAAGAGTAGCCCCCACTCACTGCAAGTAGATTAAAGCTTTTGTGCATCAGTGAAGACCCAGTGCAACCAAAAATAAATAAATGAACTAATATATATATATATATATTTTAAGAAGTCACAAAGGGATTTCTCTGGCAGTCCAGTGGTTAAGACTCCAAGCTTCCAATTCAGGGGGAGTACAAGTTCGATCCCTGGTCAGGGAACTAAGATCCCACACGCCTTGTGAAGTGGCCAAAAAAAAATTTTTTTTATAGATAAACAACAAGGAGTAGGGTAAGAAACCATCACAAAATACAACTGCATATTTTAAAAAGTGTCAGAGCCACTGTAGTTTCATATATGTCTGGTTTAGGCTTTTGTTCCATGTTCAGAACCTAGGATCAACCAAGAAATGAAGAGTGAGAGGAACCAGTATAAAAGTAAGGGACTGTCGTTAACTGAGGGGATGGCGCTGGCCACCAAGTGTCCCTGAGTGCTGCTCAACATCTGGCACCTGCAGCCCAGACTCAGCACATCTGTAGGTGTCAATCATCCTAACCAGCACTTCACAAGAGACTGGCTCATTTATCGTTGTTATGTTTTCTGTCTGCAGAAAACAATGCTAGGATCCTGCACCCACTGGGTGACAGCTCACCCAAATCATCTCATAAATCATAAATCATCAAATCATCTCCTCTGCTTCAAGCAGGCCTCAGTTAGGTTTCATGTGAATTCTCCATAATCTGTCCTAACACAGGGCCAGCCAGCAACCAACCCAGAGAGGCCAGATTTCAAAGAGAGCGATCAGTCGTTTGGTTGTTGGCATGGGCTGTTATCAAGGACAGAAAGGTTCCTGTGTCAGCCAGTGCAGGGAAAGACTTGTGGAGCCAGTCTGCCTCTGACCACATGAAGGGAAAACAACGCTCGAATGATTAACTTTCTGGTGGGATGGTTATTATGCTCTTACAGAACAATATTTACCAAGAACACTGGGTGCAGAGTGCCAGTCAGAACGTAATGGCCTCTGCTCTCCAAGCTGGTAAGGAAGAGGAAGTTTGCTCAGACTCCTGGTCACAGGTGCTAATCACCCACTTA